GTTGAAATGAAGATACAGATTTGAGACTCATCAATATATGAAGATGATGAAGGCCCACAGTGCCAAAGCCACAAGAAAGAGAAAGGGCCAGAGAAGTAGAGGAGAGGGATTGAAGGAGCCATGAGATTAGAACCGGAAAGGACCTCTGATGGCTCTGCATCTTTTCCCCTTTTGCACCTCCCCACTCTGATTTTGCAGCCTTCGGGGATCCCTGTGCGTGTGTAGGCTGTCTTGGAGATCTGAGAAGGCAGGAAGTGAGCTCTCTTTGAGAACATTCTGGTGTGCTCTGGAGCAAACTATAACTCAACTTTAGGAGTTACAGAAACCGTGGTAACTCCATGGTTTATGGTGAGCTCTACTCTCTTCTTCCCCTCACTTGTTTTGAGCCATTCCGATGCTCCTAGATTTGAATTGGCCAATCACCAGTGGCAACAGTAATGGAAACAGCCATTCACCAGACCAATAGAAGGTGTTGTGATTACTCACAGGCACTGTACTGGGTTGTATATTGTCCCCCACTAAATTCATGACTATCCAGAAACTGTGAATGTGACCTTATTTGGAAATACGGTCTTTGCAGATATAATCAAGTTAAGATGAGGTCATACTGGATTAGGGTGGGCTCTAATCCAGTGACTGGTGTCCTTAAGAGAGGGAAATTCTCGGGCTTCCCTGGTGGTGCAGTGGTTAAGAATCCACCTGCCAGTGCAAGGAACACGGGTTTGAGCCCTGGCCTGGGAAGATCCCACATGCCGCAGAGCAACTAAGCCCGTGCACCACAACTACTGAGCCCACGTGCCACAACTACTGAAGCCTGCGTGCCTAGAGCCCATGCTTCACAACAAGAGAAGCCACCGCAATGAGAAGCCTGCGCACTGCAACAAAGAGTAGCCCCCGCTCGCTGCAACTAGAGAAAGCCCGCATGCAGCAACGAAGACCCAACACAGCCAAAAATTAAAGAAACAAACAAATAAATAAATAAATTTATTTAAAAAAAGAGAGAGAGAGACGGAAGTTCTCGGACAGAGACACACGTACAACAGAGAAGATGGCCATGTGAGATAGGCAGGATTGGAGTCATCCTGCCACAAACCAAGGAATGTCAAGGATTCCCAGCAACCACCAGAAGCTAGAAGAGGCAGGGAAGGATTCTCCCCTAGAGGGGAAGCATGGGAGTGTGGCCCTACCAATGCACTGATTTTGGGCTTCTAGACTCCAGAACTGTGAGAGAGTACATTTCTGTTTTCTAAGCCACCCAGTTTGTGGTAATTTGTTATGGTAGTCCTAGGAAACAAATACAGGCACCATGTTCATCATGAAATATTCCTGCATGAAACCTTTTTTATTTGGGGGCTCTAATTAGGATGGGGGTCAGGCTGCAAAGGCGTTTTGCTTTTTTGTTTTAATTTGTGATTTTTTTTTTTTTTTTTTTTTGGCGGTACGCGGGCCTCTCACTGCTGTGGCCTTTCCCGTTGCGGAGCACAGGCTCCAGACACGCAGACTCAGCGGCCATGGCTCACGGGCCCAGCCGCTCCCGCGGCATGTGGGATCCTCCCGGACCGGGGCACAAACCCATGTCCCCTGCATCAGCAGGCGGACTCTCAACCACTGCGCCGCCAGGGAAGCCCTTAATTTGTAATTTAAAAATAATTTTTTTTTGGCTGTGCGGCTTGCAGTATCTTAGTTCCCTGATGAGGGATTGAACCTGGGACCCCAGCAGTGGAAGCACAGAGTCCCAACCACTGGACTGCCAGGGAATTCTCAGCACTTTGGATTGTACCAAAGTGCTAGTGTTTATCTTTGACCCAACTTTCTTCTCTTGGGAGAAGATGCTTCAGGCCTTCCATGGCATATACCTCCTCCTTTCCATGTCGCAGCATCCTGTAGAATTCCAAAAAGTTCAAACTTCCTGGATGTTCCATTTTGAATGATCCTTCCACTCTTAATGGCTTCACCTTTACCTTCTCCCTATATTTCTTTCTTTTTGTAAAAATTTTTTTAATTGGGTCATCACCTAGATTTCCCCTCTAACTTTCTGCACTTCTCCCTTTCTCCTTTTCTGCCATGTTCCCATGCCCATTCCACCCCATGTACTGCTCTCAATTTCCTAAAGAACGTGAGGCAACCTAGAGGTTGCCTGACAACCTGACTACCCATCTGCCTTAGGGTACAGCACACCCACACCAGCGGTAACAATTAGGTGGCTGACTGTGGACTTTCAGAAGGGCAGGCAAGAATTATTACCCTCCAAGTAATTTGAGTCTCCCTAGTACCTCATTCCTGCATTTTAGACATCCTCTTCCAGACTGAACGTATCCCAGCATTTTTGCCTTGTAAACTAGATTTTTTTTTAACCCCAAATAATCTGTAAGCAGTGGAGTGTGTTGAGATGGGCTTCTGCATCCTCACCTCTAGATATACACATACACTTTGAGTGAGAGACTCCCTTTCCTGTTGAGCTATCTTTCAGAATAAGCTATTTCCCATCTGGCCTCATACAAGGCAGAGAGGGGTCAGGGCTAATACCTGGGCATGACCACAAATAGCTTTTCTGACTCCCTTTTGCCGCCTTTTGTCTCCTTATTACCCTGCAAAGCTGCCCATTAGAGGGTTTTATGTTGTTTTTTATAAATACTTATTAACTCTTGATCATAGACTTCAATTTCCCAATTTTCCCTTGAACTTAATCTCTCTAATTAGGATTTCAAGTTACAGATTATCTTTCAGGAACTATTCTTAGTATAATTTAGAGTTCAGAAGATCATTAGGGAGACAGAGGTACAAATAAAATAGCCTAAAGGTATTAAAAAAATATGTTCCCATTCTCCTTTGGTGGGGCTGGCAGAATTACAATGAATGGAAATGGTATGATGTTTTTTTTCTCACTTCTCCTCATCTGTTTTGGACCACAGGCTCCATTCTGCTTTAGGAGTCTTTCCTGCTCAGTATTTCAGTGATAATTCTCCCCATGGTCTACAGGATCCCTGTTCTCTTTGTTTCTATAGCAACAGTCCTGTGTTGCTTGGCTAGAAGCAATTTTCTGCGGCTGTGGTGAAGCCCCATTTTTTCATTCCTTGCTCCCCAGTTGCCTTGGTAACCAGCCTCTCCCTCTTCTGGTCTCTCAGTGGTAAATTCCACCACCACCCCCCGCCCCTTCTCTCTCTCTTTCTCTCTCTCATAACAGTCACCTGGTCATGACTTGGACAGTACTTTCCCATCTGTGAGTGAGTCTCCTCTGTCATGGTCAGATTGTCATCATGAAATTAGACTCCCTTTTGCTTTATTTGCATCATTTCTCCGGCCTGCCTTCTTTCTGCTTGTTGTCAAGGTAACCGTACCCTCGGAAAATCTGCAGGCAAAGGCTCTACAGTTAACAACCATCATGTGAGAGTGTCTGCCAATATGTGGCCACACATCTTGATTTTAAAACCAGCCCCAGGCGGGTACCACAAATTGGAGAGAACAAGGCTTTTGATCAAAGCAGGCTGGATTGAGAAAAGGAGGTACAAGGACCCTGGGATACATGTGACTACAAGGTTTAGACTGGGTCTGCAAGAATGGCCATTATGCCAGGGGTGATCCAAGTGATTGAGAAATGTATTTATTGGCAGTCATTCAGGGCAGGCCTATCATATTCTCTAACCGTCCAGGGGTGATTCCTCTGACCCAAGGGTGATATGACCTGTGAGCTAGGCAGAGCCAGGTAGTAATCTCAGGCAGAAAGCAATTAAGACTCTTAAACTGGCTAACAAAGGGTTAGTAGAATAGGTATTTAGGCACTTTCACACATTACTGAAAATTCCTCTGCCCTTAGGCTGCTGCTCTAACCTCTTTAGTAAGGCAGATGGGGTGTTACTATTATAATACAAAATGTTTAACAAATGGTGGTGATTATGTGCCAGGGCGTTGTAGCAGGCACCTTTCAGGCATTACTTCATTTTCTCCTTATGGCAGTCCTGAGAGGTACTTAAGGATGAGAAAACTGAGGCTAAGCGAATTGTGTGAAGTCACTCAGCTGAAAGTGGCAGAGTGGGGATTTGAACCCATGTTCATCTGGTTCCAAAGTTCTTTTTTTTCTTTTCTTTTTTTTTTTGGCCACACACCACATGCAGGATCTTAGTTCCCCAACCAGGGATCCAACCCGTGCCCCCTGCAGTAGAAGCGCGGAGTCTTAAGCACTGGACCGCCAGGGAAATCTCCCATAGCCCTTTCTTAAAGGTTGTGTAGTCCCCAGAATTTTGGTCCTCTCTGGACCTAGTTTTTCCCACCCCCACTTTAATCTGAGGGTTGCTACTGTTTTATCCTTTCTGCCTTCCTTATTTTTTCTCTTTGTATGTTGTAGGTTGTTTACTTGCTTGTTTTTTTTATCTGTTCTCACCCCATCTCTTGCATCCTTTCGCCAAATAGATGAAAAATCTTGTTCTGCCTTATGATTGTGTCTCAGTTTGAGTTGTTGGATGAGAACATCAGAGCAGCCGCCCTTGCCTGAGAACTGGGTAGATCTGATCCTGGAGAACACCACACCTCTGAGCTCACTGGCTGTAGCACTAGATATGCAAGCCATTCTCCCCTCTACTAACAATTATTGGGTGTCTGTTCGGTATCAGGTACTGTACTGGAGATACAGTAGTGACCTAGGCAGAATCTGTTCCTTGCCTTTATAGAACTAACAGTCTGGAGAGAAAGTCAGACAATGGACAAGAGGTCAATATATAATTTCATATTGTAATTAGCTCTATGAAGAAAAAGAACTGGGTGCCGTGAAAGAGAGAATAATACGGATAGATCTATTTTAGATACGACTGCCATGCCCCACTTAAGAGAGGTGGTAGTTGAGGTTCTCACATCAGCAGCTAGTTGACGGCAGTCACAGCAGGAGCTTCTGAGCGTGGGGACCTGGGTCCCTCACCTCCTTCCTCCCTCCGCACCCTCCCTTCAGAGCCCGAGGTCCGCGCAGGCGCACTGACGGTTGCCATGGGGACAGCTGCTCCTGCGCAAGCGTAGACTTCTTTAAGATGGCGGCGGTGGCGGCTGCACGAGCTGTGTCTGCGGGCCCTGGGCTCCGGGGCCTAAAACGGACACTGCCTCTTGTAGTAATTCTCGGGGCCACGGGCACCGGCAAATCCACGCTGGCGTTACAGCTAGGCCAGCGGCTCGGTGGCGAGATCGTCAGCGCTGACTCCATGCAGGTATGACAGTGCGGCTGTCCCCAGCCTGGTAAACCGGAGGCCGTGCGTGGGCCTCTGGCTGAGTGGATACCCTGTCGCTTAATGGTAGTGGGTGAACCCCGAGGCTTATGGGGCGGAGGGGGCTGGGAAAGGGCACCCATAATTCCTAGGCGCCCACTATATGCCGGACATCGTGCCAGCTGTTTCACTGCCATCATTTCATTTACTTGTCAGGATATTACTGTTTGGTGTAGGTACTGTTATAATCTCCATTTACCGATGAGGGAATTCACCTAGGGAGGTGAAACGACTATCTCTGTGTCACTAAGGGAATACGTGGAGATGGTATTTGAACATATAAGGTTGACCTATAGGTGTCCATTATATACCTTTTGAAGGAAAATTACTCCAGAGCTTTTGCTATTTAGAGTTCCCAGCGACACCAGGATAAATCATTTACCATCTACGAGTGTCTGCTGAGGGAATGAAGCAGGGTGGATAGTCAGGAAACCTGGATTCTCTTCTCTCATCTGCCATCGGCCACGTGACCTAAACAGCGTCGGTTTGGGGGGACGTTATTTATCTGAGAAGTGGAGAAAATGCCGCCTACTTCACAGGGCTCTGGTGCTTAATAAGTGAGAACATGAGTGTTAGAAAGAAGAGCAGGGTGGCCTGTCCTGAAAAAGTCCAGGCACTTGGCAAATGCTTTATGATGCTGAGATTTTTAACTTAGCGGCTGATGGGAATCAGCAGGCTTTGCCCTCTTCCTTGAGCCGCAGGGAGGCCCAGAAGGAGTGTGTACACATCACACCTGGGAACATTTGTGCTCCGATTGAGGATGGGTGACATTTGGGGTACATCTCCGATGGAGGAATTACAAGTTAAGAGTTTTCACAGTGTAAATGAGATGCTCGGTGAAATGCCCGGTGCTGAACCTAGCGCCTGATGGGTATTCAGCAGGAAGGGGCAGGCCTTCTCCCCACTGTACCCCGTAAACTCTGGGCATGGTTTCCACCCTCATTAATTCATGTGGGATGACACGGCCATCAACACACATCAGATGATTAGGATAATTCAACAAACCTTTGTTCACAACCTCTGCTTTGTGCTGGCTCTGAGAGGCGGACTTTAGCTCAAATCCCAGCCTTGCCTTTTCTAAGATATGCAACCTCAGCCTGACCTCTTCATGTCTTTGTTTCTTCTGTAAAAGAGGAAGAATAATATCAATAACATGATATTATTGTGATGGTTAAACGAGATTAAATATGTAAAGCACTTAATACCATGTCAGGCACACAGTAAGTGCTAAAAATATGATTAGGTGCTATTTTCTGCAAGGCCCTTTTGGAGAGACAAAACTGCAATCCTGTCTTCAAGGAGTTTTAGTCCAGATAAACATGAAACAAAGCAAGTTAATACGTGTTTGAAGTGAGTTATTGATGATGCTTTGCAAGGGGTGGGGATGGGAGGTGGGGAGGAGGGAGACTACCGTGTTAGATCTTATGATGAACCATAGAATTTCTGAGAAGAGAAATCAGTGAAAGCTGATATAGTCATGGAAAGCTCTGTGAAAAGGGACTTGAAGGATAGGTGAGTTTTAGATAGATAAAGAAGAAAAGCCATTGTATCAAAGGAAGGACTGTGAATGAAGATTTAGAAGGTGAAATGAACTTAGTGTGCATGTAGGACAGTGAAAGGAGACTATTTAACAGGTATTGTAGATATTGTGGAATGGGGGATGAGTAACATGATGAAGACAGTGTGTAAGAAGCATTCATTTGTGAGCAGTATGCTGATGAATTGAATTTGGGGGTGGGTGGGAGGGGCATACCAAAAAAAAAGTCCAAGAATGTAGTAATTATAGGTCTTTGGCTCGATACTTCCGAGACTTGGGTATACGGGCTTCGGTAAGATGGCGTTTCACTGATAATATCTAAGGTCCATTGCAGTCTTAATGTTTTGTAATTTGGGGCTGGTATGTTAGTGGGAATGAATGGAAGAGAAAGATGTAACATTTTGAAGGTAGTATCATGTTACAGTATGAGTCGGTCACTGATTGTGGAAAGAAGAGAGCAGTGCACACAGTGTGTTTCAGGTTTGTGTGCCTGGGAGAGTATGGTGAGCCTGGAAGTCAGGAAGATCTGGCGGGGCACAGTGGAGGTTGCAGCAGGACATCCATGGGGAAAGTCTAGTGGGTGTGTGAAGAATGCAGCAGGTATGATCCCGTGTTAGGACTCTTACACTCAGAGGTTCCCTCTGCCTGGTGGAATGTTTTCCCCTACATAAGCATGTGGCTTGCTTCCTCTCTTTGTTCAGGTCTTTACTTAGATGTCATCTTATTGAGGCCTCTGACAATCCTATTTAAAACAACACAGCACACTGTTGCTCCCTGTTTCTGCCTCTTCCTCATGTACCACACATAGTCCTTGTCAGGAAAGCGTTCTCAATAAAACATCTTAATTTTACAAATGTTTTTAAGTAAATTAGCAGCTTCTGGCAATAAGGATTGGTTATAGCTCTGTAATTGCTGTTATCCGCTATTCAGAAATGTTTCTTTACGCATAGCTGTGTACCATAAGGTTGAGCTTGCTAGAGGTCTTGCTCGATGTGAAATAGGCCACATCAGTTAGACACTTTGTGCCTTATATAGTGCTGATGATATGGTAGATCCTTAACATTTGATGAAACATTTGTTGACCTGTCTTATCAAAATGGCACATCACGATCCATTTAGATTCTTCCTGTTGTTATAAATAACTAGAATATGAAAATTAAATTTCTTTCATCCTTGGGATGCTGTGAGGATTAATTAATGTGTGAAAAACACTTTGAAGATAATTGAGCTTTCTGAACTGGCAATAGGTTGTGTTTAATATTCATAACGTGGATATATTCCTCTCAGACCCGTTGGAAAACTTTGACCTTTAATGTTTACTTTTCAGTTCAAATAATGAAATAAAGTATCTCTGCCCCATTCACTGTGGGTATACGCAGTTCTTCATTTCTCCCCTTGCTTACCATGCCCCTCGTAGGGTAGTGCTACTCTGCTTGCTTTTTAGCCAATGGAAGGAGATAATGCTTTTCAGTGACTTGAGATTGCAGAAAATTTTTGTAAGCATGTGAACAAATGACATTCTTAATGTTGGAGTTAACCAGCTTTTTTTTTTTAAATTAACTAATTAATTTATTTTTGGCTGTGTTGGGTCTTTGTTGCTGCACACAGGCTTTCTCTAGTTGCAGAGAGCGGTGGCTACTCTTTGTTGCGGAGCACGGGCTCTAGGCGTACGGACTTCAGTAGTTGCGGTGCTCAGGCTTAGTTGCCCCGCGGCATGTGGGATCTTCCCGGACCAGGGCTTGAACCCATGTCCCCTGCATTGGCAGGCAGTCTTAACCACTGCGCCACCAGGGAAGTCCCTAACCAGCTTCTTAAAAGAACTTTTTCAGCTTTAGTTAAATCCACAGGCAGAATTAAATTTGAATAGCACTGTTTATAAAATGCTTACATATGCTTTTTTATCCTCACAATAACCTTGTAAGGTAGACATTATTATCACTTCACAGTTAAGGAAACAGGTACAAGGTCTTATAGTAAGTAGCAGACCTGGAGTTGGACATAGGTCTCTACTTTCCACGCTCAGTGCCTGCCTTATCTATACACAAAGTTATCCCTTTAAATGAGGCAGGACCTGTGGGATTCAATTATTAGAGAGTATTTCTTAACTTGTATGACACTGATCCTTCACAGGAGTGTGCTACATTTTGAACAGGGTATAAAATGTATTTTAGGATTTGTATTGTGGATCTTAGTGTGAATTCATAGTGATATCTCTCAAGTTGAGTGTTGAGCTGAGTGTTGGCCATGTGATGCATTGCTAGGGGGCTGAAACTTACTGCAGCGGAGATATAATTTAATGTCAATTATTTGAAGATACCAAAGGCAGTGTTTAGTGGAACAGAGGGAAACTAGGCCTTGTGGAGAGCCTAGACCGAGCAGTAAACTTCCTTGTTGTGACAGCCACGCAGACTAAAGGGGGACCTAATGGAAAGTGGATAATTAGAAAGGTTTTTCAAGTTTCCAAATTGATCTTTCTAAAAACCAGTATTTGAATTTTAATAATCTCTTTTGGAATGCTGCCCAGAGTTTTGTATTTCAAAATTGTACCAGTGACTCAGAAAGGATTGTAAAACACTGCCTTAAATCTTAAATTCTCTTGCACCTCATACTCCTTTTGTCATCCCTTTGTCCTACCTTAACTGTAGGGTCATCCCAAGGCAATTCCAGCAGGGCACTTCCCATCCAGGGAAAGTGCTTGTTTTTCGTAAACATTGAAGAAGTAAGTGCTCTAAGTATTGAGGTAGCTTCTTTGAGATAAAACCACAATGGAGTGTTAAGGGTAGTGTGTCAAGGGTGATGATACTGTCAGGGAACATAATAGACAATGACTTGCTTTTTTAGCCATGTAGCACCTGACGTCCTGCCTGGCCCCTCACTTCTCATTCTTGTGTCAGTGGTCTGTTGAGTGGGAAGTCAGAACTAATTTTCTGAGGGATTACTTGCTTAGGGACTTCTGCTGGGCTCAACTGTGGATTTTTCATGGTAGGTCTGACAAAAGTGAGAAACATTTTGTGCTTAATTTTCTGAGTTTTCCAAACCCCAGTTTCACAAGTTGTAGAAGCATAAATATTCTCAGCTAGCAGTAAGAGTCTAAATTCAAGGAGGGACAGGTAATACAATCCCTGTTTTCCAGGATGGAAAAACTGAGGTGCAGAAAGATTAAAGAGCAGACTAGAGATCACACTGCAAGACACTTGCACACCTGGGAATTGGATCTGGGTCTTCTAACTCATGTGTAGTGTCTGATATATTGCAGGAAGATGATACTGAAGGTCTTCTTTTCAGTCTGAGTCTTTTTCTTGGCATGTAAATTTAAGGTACAATGCATTGCCTTCAGTGACTGGATGAAACATTGTACTGAGAAATTTGAAGGCACTTGCCAAAAGATGTACAATGGCTGCCTGGA